AAAAAAAAAAAAGAAGACAGAATAACAGAGTTGGAAGGGATCTTGTAAGTCATCTAGTCCAACTCCCTGCTCAAGCAGGAGATCCTATACTGGGGGTGAAATCCAGCTGGTTCTGACAAGTTGTGGAGATCTGGTAGCGGAAATTTTGAGTAGTTTGGAGAACCGGCAAATGCCACCTCTGGCTGGCCCCAGAGTGGGGAGGGAATGGGGATTTTGCAATATCCTTTCCCTGCCATGCCCACCAAGCCACGCCCACAGAACCGGTAGTAAAAAAAAATTTGAATTCCACCACTGCCCTACACCACTTCTGACAGATGGCAGTCCAGTCTCTTCTTGAAAGCTTCCAGTGATGAAGCTCCCACAACTTCCGAAGGCAACTTCTGTTCCATGGGTTGATGGTTCTCACTGTCAGAAAGTTCCTCCTCGTTTTTAGTTTTAATCTCTCCTTGTTCCATTTCCATCCATTGTTCCTTGCCTGACCTTCAAGTTTTAGCTTTTAGATTGTCCCTCTCCTCTCTGTGGCAGCCCGTCAAATATTGGAACACTGCTATCATGTCTCCCCTGGTCCTTCTTTTCATTAAACTGGACATACCCAGTTCCTGCAACCGTTCTTCAAATGTTTTAGCTTCCAGTCCCCTAATCATCTTTGTTGCTCTTCTCTGCACTCTTTCTAGAGTCTCCACATCTTTTTTACATCGTGGCGACCAAAACTGGATGCAGTATTCTAGGTGTGGTCTTACTAAGGCATTATAAAATAGTATTAGTACCTCACATGATCTTGAGTCAATCTCTCTGTTAATGCAATTTAGGATTGCATTCGCTTTTTTGGCTGCTGCCGCACACTGTTGCCTCATATTTAATATCATGTTTATGTCATAAACTGTTTTGTAACATTTGCCAAATTTCAATCCCACATGAGTCATGAATTGAAATTTGGATGCATTCTAATAAATTAGCTTATTTGAGTTATCTTGGTTCAAAAATTTTGATTTTATAATGTACCTTTTGACCCAGTTAAAGGTTTCAAGAACAAGAGTTTTAGTAGTATATCTATTTTATGATGTTGTTAAAATCCATTTTAAATGATAACACTCCCATGAATGAAATTTACAGCACAGAATAAAAACGTCTGCAAAGAAAGATGAGTCCATTAAAAACGAAGGAAAGTCCTCTATATTTAAGAAAATAGTACAGTAAAATAACAGGCCAGAACTGGAAATATTTGTATAGATCAGTGTTTCTCGACCTTGGGAACTTTAAGTTGTTTGGACTTCAATTCCCAGAATTCCCCAGCCAGCATAGCCTAGCTGGCTAGGGAATTCTAGGAGTTGAAGTCCACACATTTTAAAGTTGCCAAGATTGAGAAGTACTGGCATAGAGGTTATAATCGGAAGGGCTGCTATGGGTTCGGAAGAACCTCTAGCTAAAATTCTGTGCAGTTTGGAGAACCCCCAAATCCCACTCCTGGCTGGCCCCGACCACTCTGCCCCTCCCCTCCCAGGAGTCCCCACACGGCCCGTTTTGGATGCAGATAAGTGCAGGGCATGTGCGGAGGCTCAGGGAGGGCGAAAAATGGGCCTACCAGAAGTTTGGGAAGGGCGGAAACGGCCCCACTTTCGGCCTCCAGAGCCTGGGGAGGCCGTTTTCGCCGTTCCGGAGGCTGGAGGAAAGCCTCCGGAGCCTGGGGAGGGCAAAAACACCCCCCTGCCATGGTGCAGGAGGCCAAGTAGGCCATACTCACCATGGTGACACCCACCCAGCAACCGGGCAGAGAATCCCTTGCTAAAATTTTTGAAGCCCACCCCTGGTTATAATTATTATCAAGCAGGAATTAACTATGAACTCTTTGGAATCTACTTCTTAGCTTTGTAATCTTGGCTTGCAGCAGAAAAAGGGAAGAAAAAGATGAAGATGTATTATTTTTTCCCCTCATTGCAGGATTTGAGAAAAGGAGGAGGAGTCTTTTGTGTGCCAGTTGTTGGGCAATGGTGGCAGGAAGATGTTGGCCAGGAAAAGCATTATCCCAGAAGAATATGTTCTTGCCCGCATTGCGGCTGAGAATTTGGGCAAGCCCCGCATTCGAGACCGCCAGCGCAAAGCCCGTTTCATTGCCAAAAACGGCGCTTGCAACCTGGCCCACAAGAACATCCGTGAGCAAGGACGCTTCCTGCAGGACATCTTCACCACCTTGGTGGACCTGAAATGGCGCCACACTCTGGTGATCTTCACCATGTCCTTCCTCTGCAGCTGGTTGTTCTTCGCCATGATGTGGTGGCTGGTGGCTTTCGCCCACGGAGACATGGACAAGCCTTGCAGCACTGAAGACTTAGACAAATGGAGACCATGCATCACCTGCGTCAGGTAAGGAGTCACGTCTTGAAGACGAGACGTTGGATGCCATGGCTGCAGACTGTCAGCTCTGAAGCGAACCTGGCAGAAGCCATCTTGGGCCGCCTCATAGTTGCCATGAACCCTGAGAGGGGGAAGGGAGGGGGGAAGTAGATAGACTGGCTAACAGTCAAAACAAAAAGTTTTTCTTATGGGAACCAAGGTTATCTCAACAAGTGCCAGTTTGAAGGAGGAGACCTAGGAATAACCTAGCAACCGGCCAGCTACTTTCATTGGACAATGTGACTGGTGACACCTGGAAGGGGGGGAAATTTGCTTTTTTAATTACGGGAAAACGCGGGAATTTTTAGAGTTGGGTTTCACCAGCTGTGCCAATATGATGTATCCAATAAACATGTTCTTTGGGGAACCTACCTGCCTCAGAGTTCTGCTTTTGGTAGATGCATTACTTGGAAAACTGGCATAGACATGCAAACAAATCCAGGGCTTCATAAATACAGGTAGTCCTCGATGTACGACCACAGTTGAGGCCAACATTTCTGTTCCTAAGCAAGACAGTTCCTAAGTGAACTTTTGCCCTATTTTACGACTTTTCTTTCCACAGTTGTTAAGCAGATGTTAAGTTAGGAACATGGTTGTTAAGTGAATGTGGCCTCCTCTGTTGACTTTGCTTGTCAGGAGGTCGCCAAAAGGGATCACACGATCCTGGGACACTGCAACTGTCATAAATATGAAGCCAAGCATCCAAATTTTGATTATGTGACCATGGAGATGCTGCATTGGTCATAAGTGTGAAAAACAGTCATAAATCACTTTTTTCTGTAACTTCAAACTAATGGTTGGAGGTCAAGGACTACCTGTAGTTTATTTGCATAATATGTTAAGGCTAAATTACTAGCCCAATCTTGGTTTGATCTGATGTGTTGTGTGAACCCATATATACGGCGCAGGATAAGTGTTTTCACTTGATTTGACCAATCTTATAGGCATGCTTTCAAAGTGGAAAATAACTGATTTATTAAGTTTATGACGGTATTCTACTTTTTTCCGCCTTTCTTACAGGTCCTTCATCTCTGCTTTCCTCTTCTCTATTGAGGTCCAGGTGACCATTGGTTTCGGTGGAAGGATGATGACCGAGGAATGTCCCATCGCCATCAGTGTTTTGATCCTCCAAAACATTGTGGGCTTGATCATCAATGCAGTCATGTTGGGTTGCATCTTCATGAAAACCGCCCAGGCCCACCGCAGAGCAGAAACTTTGATCTTCAGCCGGAACGCGGTCATCGCTGTCCGTAATGGCCACCTGTGTTTCATGTTCCGCGTAGGGGACCTGAGGAAAAGCATGATCATTAGTGCCTCGGTACGAATCCAGGTTGTCAGGAAGACCACCACTCCAGAAGGAGAAGTCATCCCAATCCACCAGCTCGATGTTCCAGTAGACAATCCTCTTGAAAACAACAATATTTTCCTGGTGGCTCCATTGATCATTTGTCATGTCATTGATAAGCGGAGTCCTCTTTATGACATCTCCGCCAATGATCTGGCCAACCAAGACCTAGAAATCATTGTCATACTTGAAGGTGTGGTGGAAACCACTGGAATCACCACCCAAGCCAGAACATCCTACATATCAGAAGAGATCCTCTGGGGTCATCGCTTTGTGCCCATCGTCACGGAAGAAGAAGGGACTTACGCTGTCGACTATTCCAAATTTGGCAACACCAGCAAAGTCGCGGCACCCCGCTGCAGTGCCAAGGAGTTGGATGAGAAGCCCTCCATTCTCATCCAGACCCTCCAGAAAAGTGAGCTGTCCCACCAAAACTCTTTGAGGAAACGTAACTCCATGCGGAGGAATAACTCCATTCGGAGGAATAATTCAATCAGGAGGAATAACTCTTCCTTCATTGTGCCTAAAGTCCAATTCATCACACCTGAAGGCAATCAGAACACCATGGAAACATGACAGAGCCAAGGAGTCATATGCAGCGGTCCTGCAAAAACAGGGGTTTACCTTTGTTATAATATTAGTATTAATTTGATATAAACATTTAATAGATATTAAGGGTTATTTATTATATGCAGACACCAGATCAAACCAGAGATAGGTTGTCATTGAGTCCATTATCAATGCGTGGTCCAATGTTTGCATATTTGAGGTTGAGATGCTACAGCTAGTCCTCAACTTACAACCACAACTGAGGCCAAACTTTCTGTTTTTAAGCAAGAACATTATTAAATATTGCCCCATTTTATGAATTTTCTTGCCACAGCTGGTAAGTGAATCACTGTAGTTGTTAAGTGAATTATGCTGTCATTAAGCTAATCTGGCTTTCCCCATTGACTTTGCTTGTCGGACGCCAACTAGGAACGTTAGACATGGTGACCCCGGGACAGTGCAACTATCATAAATACATCTCAGTTGCCAAGCATCTGAATTTTGATCATGTGATTGTGGGGATGCTGTGATGGTCATAAGTCACTTTTTTTCAGTGCCATTGTAACTTTGAACGGTCACTGAATGAATGTGTCAAGCTCGAAGTGCGCTTTTGCTGTTACAACCATTATCACTTCTCAACTTGCCAAAGGACTAGAGGGGAGGGACGGGTGAGATGGAATACAGGTTCCAGACTTCAAGAAAGAGAGCTGTTGGAGCCAAGGACACATCTGCAGGTGTTAGCTAAGACTGGAGACTCTTTCTCATAACAAAACAATGACACTCAATTGGATAATGTGACCTACACTAATAGGAGGAAGGGAGAAATCTATATAGTAACTATGTGGGTTTGTGTGGGAATTAGGTAGAGCTGGTTTTGCCTTCAATAGTACCAAAATGATGCACTCAATAAAGTTTTGCATTAAGAAATCGGCAGATCTCGCGTGTGCTTGCTTTAGTTGGGTTCTTCAGTCGGGACGTTGACAGAATGCTTGTAAGTTGAGGACTATCTGTAATTTGTTGGCTACCCATACTTTTGGAAAAACTATAGAAAATTACCTCTTGTTTACATGAAGGTTGGGCCAATTGTCATTTGAATCTATTTTTCATGCTCTCTTTATCTACTATTTAATTCAAAGCTGTTTTATCTCATTGGGAATGCTTGTTATGGAAATATGTGCCTGTATCTCTCCCTCTCTCCTTCTATATCTAAGTCACTATCTCTATCTAGATATAATGCTTGAACTATATTTCTAAAGTCTTATCTAATCCATTTTGAAAATTGTAGAGTTTTAGAAGAAGGGGATTTTTAAAGTAAGTCCTGTGGGTTATTTTGTTGATAAATAGTGGGTATTCCTGAAGTGTGGAACAATAGGGATTAGCAGTGGTAGTAGCAATATTAGTTTGAAACTATTCATGGAAGGAATCCCCTCACGAATGTGAAAAGATGCCACTCCTCCATCTCAGGGAGGCAGAGCCGATTAAGTGGTTCCGCCCCAGATGCCTAATGGACCCTGAGGGATTTCAGAAGGAGCTTGGGGAGATACCTGATTCCCTTGTCCACAGTCCGGCCAAGACCCTACTGGCTGCCTGAAATAGGGCGGCATCCGGGGCATTGGACCGGATTGTACCTTTGCGACCTCTCAATGGCAGTGGATCCAGGAAAACTCCCTGGTTTATCGAGGAGCTCTTTATCGAGGAGATGAAGGGCCAGAAGAGACGTCTAGAGCAATGCTGGAGGACCAGTAAATCCAAATCTGACCGAACACACTTGAGAGCCTTTATTAGGACTTATTTAGTGGCGATACGGGCGGCAAAGTGCTCACATTTTTCCGCACTTATTGCATCCGCTGATTCTCGCCCAGCCGCCCTATTTAGGGTGACTCGCTCCCTCCTTAATGCAGCGGGAGCGGAGGAGCCCTTGCAGGGTAGAGCTGAGGAGTTTGTGCAGTTTCTGTCGGATAAAGTTGCTCAGATTCGGATGGACCTGGACTCTGATTGGGCAATACCGACCAAGATGACGGGGGCGGGTCTTAGTCCTATTGTGTGGGAGGAGTTTGAGCCGGTGACTCCTGAGGAAGTGGACAAGGCTGTAGGTGCGATGAGTTCCTCCACTTGTTTGTTGGACCCGTGCCCCTCCTGGCTGGTTTCGGCCAGCAGGGAGGTGACACAAGGCTGGCTCCAGGCTTTAGTTAACGCGTCCTGGAGGGAGGGGTCCTTCCCGCAACCATTAAAGGAAGCAGTTGTAAGGCCCCTCCTCAAGAAGCCTTCCCTGGACCCAGCAGAATTAAAGAACTTTTGGCCAGTCTCCAACCTATCCTTTGTGGGAAAGGTTGTAGAGAAAGTGGTGGCACTTCAGCTCCTGCGGTCATTGGATGAAAAGGATTAACTGGACCCTTTTCAGTCTGGCTTCAGGCCTGGCTACAGCACGGAAACTGCCTTGGTCACACTGATGGATGATTTCTGGCGAGCCCGAGATGGGGGTCATTCCTTTACTTACTACTTGACCTCTCAGCAGCTTTCAATACCATTGACCATGGTATCCTTCTGGGACGATTAAGGGAGTTGGGAGAGGGAGGCACCGTGTTGCGGTGGTTCTCCTCCTATCTCTCTGGTCGGTCACAATCGGTGTTGGTAGGAGGACAGAGATTGACCCCTAGGCCCCTCATTTGTGGAGTGCCTCAGGGCTCGGTCCTCTCTCCCCTCCTATTTAACATCTACATGAAACCGCTGGGTGAAATCATCCGATGATACGGGGTGGGATATCAGCAATATGCTGATCATACCCAGCTGTATATCTCCACACCCCCATCAGTTCAGTGAGGCAGTGGATGTGATGTGCTGGTGCTTGGAGGCTGTGAGGGCCTGGATGGGAGTCAACAGGCTCAGACTTAACTCAGACAAGACCGAATGGGTGTGGGTACTGCCTCCTAAAGACTATGTTGATTGTCCATCCTTGGTCCTGGGGGGGGGAGAAATTGTCCCCCTCAGAACAGGCTCGCAATCTGGGTGTCCTCCTAGACTCACAGCTAAGATTGGAACAACATCTGACAGCTGTGGCTAGGGGGACCTTTAAAAAGGTTCGCCTGGGGCACCAATTGCGACCCTACTTGGATCAGGAGGGTCTTCTCACAGTCACTCATGCCCTTGTCACCTCACAGTTGGATTATTGCAACACGCTCTACATGGGGCTACCCTTGAAAAGTGTTCAGAGACTACAGTTGGTCCAGAATGCAGCCACGCGAGTTATTGTGGGTGCACCTAGATACACCGACATTACACCAATTCTCCCCGAGCTGCACTGGCTCCCTATCGGTCTCCAGACACAATTCAAGGGGTTGGTTATTACCTTTAAAGCCCTATATGGCTCAGGACCAGATTATCTTCGAGACCGCCTTCTACCGCATAGCTCCCAATGACTGGTAAGATCCCACAGAGCTGGTTTCCTCCGGGTCCCATCAGCTAAACAATGTCGGTTGGTGGGCCAGCATGGGAGGGCCTTCTCTGTGGCTGCCCCGGCTTTCTGGAACCAATTACCTCCTGAGGTCTGGACCACCCCCACCCTATTGGCCTTCTGGAAAGCGGTGAAGACCTTGGCTTTTCTGGCAGACCTGGGGCCATTGATCTTGCTATGGCGATCTTGCAAGACCCGGCCATGGAATGGAGTGTATGGGTTTTTAATGTTTTCTTTTAAAAAAAATTTATGGGATATTGTTCGCATTGTTTTTTTTGTTTTTTGTTTTTTTTTGCTGTAAACCGCCCAGAGTCCCTAGGGAGTTGGGCTGCATAGAAATGCGACTAATAAATAAATAATAAATAAATAAAAGCAAAAGAGCTGTTTTCTCTGACACGTGTTAGATTTTGCTCCCATGGTCACAATAAAAAATTCAGCAACATGGGAAATGAACTGAAAGCAAACGCCACTCATGGCAGAGATGCCCAGCAACCTCTTAGTTTCAAGGCCATGACTCAATGAACATGTTGAAATATGGGGAATAAAAGCAGTGAGTTTAAACTGGGTGTACCACCACTATGTCAACACAGAAAAAATCAGCCATTCAATGGAGCTTCTAACATGCAGTAAAAACAGTTACCTAGCCATCTCATGCGACAAACCTCCGCCAAACCCAGGTTTAGCAGCCAAATTAAACCATGTGAAATTGAGGGAATAAATTTTACTCCTGAACTGTAGTCCAGGAAATCTAATAATCCTAGCCCTCAATGTAAGGTTATTTCAATCAGTATACCATGTTTCCCCAAAAATAAGACCAGAATTTATATTAATTTTGGCTCCAAAAGACACATTAGGACTTATTTTCTGGTTAGGTCTTATTTTGAGGGAAATACAGTACTAAATGCACCATCTGGCTGGCAATCTTAATTGGGGCTTATTTTGGGGGTAGGGATTATATTACAAGCAACATGAAAAATCATGTTAGGGCTTATTTTCCGGTTGGGTTTTATTTTCGGGGAAACAGGGTACATAGTCCTCAATTTATGTCCAAATTGGAACCAGAATTTCTGTCACTAAGCAAGGTGATTGTTAAAGAGAATCACGGCTGATTTTATGACCTTTTTTGCCCATGGTTGTTAAACTAAATCACTGCAGTTGTTCAGGGAATCATGCGGTCATTAAACAAATCCAGCTTCCCCCATGAACTTACTTTGTTGGAAGATGGCTAGAAATGTCATAAATAGTGATTAAATGACCCCAGGATGCTGAAACCTAAATATGTGCCAGTTACCAAGCACTCATTTTTCGATCATGTGATCATGGGGATGCCGTGACCATCATAAGTGCGAGGAGCAGTCAGAAATCACTTTTTTCAAATGGTCACTAAATGAATGGTTGTAAATCAAGTATTACCTCTATGTGCACAGAACTGTTTCCTTCCAGACTTAAGACTATGAGTGATAACCCTATATTTTCCCCCCTGCCTTCCATCAATTTATTAACAAACATTTGAATACAATTCAAGTCACTTCAGAATAATTTTACTAAACCACATTAGTGTTCAGAAGCTAAATGGAAGAGATAATATTTGCTTCACTGTACAACTCGTATTCGATCTCCACATCTGTTCATTTATCAGCAAATAACGCGCCTTCAAGAACCTTGTTAAGAATCTTGACATATCTTAAATGTAGGAAATATTAGCTGTCCAGCTTCACAGAAAAAGATTTCTTCAATAAAGTTTTTCCACTTTCTAACTTTGCTCTGATCTGTACTTATGTTTGAGCTGAAGAGCATAAAACTGGGATCTGGGATTATAATTATGGAAAAATGTAGATCCTTGACATTTTCCATCTTGAAGTCCATGGGATGCTATCTTCAAAATCATGTGTGTTGCTGAAACATCGGCCTTACATTAATCCCACAACTGTTAGCACCCTGTCTGTGGTCCGTTAAAATTCCCACAAAGGGAAATGAGCAGGTAATGAGATCACGCAGTCAATCGGTAGTCACTTTATTTCTCTTAAAGGTAAAGGTTCCCCGTGCACATATGTGCTAGTCATTCCCGACTCTAGGGGGTGGTGCTCATCTCCGTTTCAAAGCCGAAGAGCCAGCACTGTCTGAAGACATCTCCATGGTCATGTGGCTAGCATGACTCAACGCCAAAGGCTCACGGAACGCTGTTATCTTCCCACCAAAGGTGGTCCCTATTTTTCTACTTGCATTTTTTACGTGCTTTTGAATTGCTAGGTTGGCAGAAGCTGGGACAGGTAACGGGAGCTCACCCCATTACACGGCACTAGGGATTTGAACCGCTGAACTGCCGACCTTTCGATCGACAAGCTCAGTGTCTTAGCCACTGAGCCACTGCGTCCCTTATTTCTCTTACCAACCATTAATTCTTCAACCTTTTGAGGAAGTCTCCAGAATTGCATGCTTTAATCATCTGTCTGCTCTCTTTTTCAAAAAGCAAGGAAGC